AGCACGCGATCGCCGCTAATTTTCAGCTGTCAAGGCTGACTTCTTTTCCCTCACAATTAGAACTCCAATTCTTTTGCATGGGTGCTATGTCATAAAAAATCGAGCGAAGCTGACCCTTGGGCAGTCGCGGCTTCATTTCGCCAATCATGGACGCAACTTTGAACAACTTTTTTAAGATGAGAGGGTAGGCTAATTTAGCAACAATAGGGCACCTCCTAAACGACACTTGTGGAGAGTGATGGAATTTTTCGAGCGGCAGAAGAAAGTATTCGAAAATCAAAGAGAAGGCGACAATGAAGACTCCTTTCCCTACATTACGTATCGCACTTCGGGGAGAAAATGGGCTTGTTGCATAAGCTACATATTTCTTACCATGTCAACGATTGCCCGCTACGATAGTTACTTTTCACCGACACAACGCCAACGTTATCGGTGAACATATTGGTGGTGTCCCAGTCGACTCGTGTCAGTCGATTCGGAGAGACTTTTCGTATATTCCTCGGACACGACCGCACTATTGGTGGGATCTTATCTGAAAAAAAAAACTTTTGAGAAATTTGGACCTTTCAAATTGAGAGTTAGCCAGAGTCATGGAAGCCACTGGATGCTGTGAATAGGGTATGCCTACAATGAGCACGTAATAGGCGCTACGATGGATAAGGAGTACCAGGAATCGCAATAGCCCATTTTAAGGCTTAGGCAACAAATCTTGGATCAGGGCCGAATTCTGAATGGAGATATGCACAGGTGCGCTTCAGGGCTGGATTGATCATCACCAAAAACTTCACCCTTTCTCGTAGATTTAATAAAGGGTAGTCAATCGACGAAGGAGAGGATGTTTGAAGTTTCTCTGGCTGTCTTTCAGAGCAAAAACTCACGAGTTCCACCTCTCAATCAAATCGCCCTTCAAAAATGCCCATTCTCGATTCACCCATGAGGATTTTTTGTCTTTGCCCATACCCGGGATTCGAGTTGTTGAAAACTGGACTCAATGTTCATCTGAGAATGTCCACTGACCTTTTGTATTGCAACTCGATCTACCCGGTAAACAATCAGATACATCACAAAGACCCGGATAAAGTGCCATCACTCCCGGATTGTTCCGTTGAACCGTAGTGAAATCGGTCCATTGTTTGATATGTAAGTCAGGATGGCTTGCAGTCATCCAATCACGACACTGGAATGCCATCTTCGCAATATCCATGTCATCCATATAGGCAATGTACAGCTAAAATAGCGGTAAATCGGGTAGATAGGTTTGGGATCAACTAGGTAGGCCATACCTGAACAAGGCTGATCTCTCCTCTGAATCGATTTCCATCATTCGCACCAATCTGTATGAGACAGCGGATGTCGGCGCTGACTTTAAGCACCTCATAGCTCGCATTGGCAGCAAAAACTCCGTCGAGAAATATAGTCCAAGTTGGTCGATCCTGGTCGACATAGTGTGGACTGCGTACGCATACCTAAAGGATGAAACGTTGGAGCGTGTGAGTGCAATTTTCTGCTGCAATATTGCAGCCTTCGTTACTGGCTTATTACCTCTTGGTAGGCGAATAGAAACGCCTTCAAATCGTTTAAGTGCCTAAACGCCCTAAAGAAACTTACCTTATAGGTAGAGCCATGAGAACATTGATGGCTCTACCTATAAGGTAAGTTTCTTTAGGGCGTTTAGGCACTTAATGTGACTGCATGGGCAGCATGGAGAGAGGCATGGTGTATAGTTGGCAATAGTTCCGAATGCACGTGGTTTTTCCTGTGGTTTCAGCTAATTGTTAACCGAAGGGAAGGGTTTGACTAATGTTTAGAGGAACTGTTCATCACCTCCAGCTCATTGTGTACAGCACCCTTCAAGTTACCTCTTTTTCCACTCCCTTCCTCGCGACTGTGAACAGAACGATTTTGCGTTCTTTCCAAGCTTTCAGGTATGGAGAGGAGGGCGGAGGACAAAATGCATTTCGCGCTAGTGCGTTCCAGCTATACACATAGCAAGGTGTGATCAGTCGGTCTTCCTGAACATCCTGCCGACTCCAAGAATGCTGTTTCTCAGTGGTGGTTAAGCTCTAACCCTCTCCGGTTAACTCAGTTGGGTTTGCTCCCGTTTTGATCATCGATCCCAACGACCACATCCGTTTTTATATAACTCCTTTCGAAGTTGTCCAATACAGTGGTGACGACCGCTGTATGGTTGAAGAATTTTACTGACTGAGAATGAAGCAATAGTAAGGGTATGGCTAATGAGTGTAATGGAACCCCATCACAGTGATAGAGAATTCGAATGACAAGCGATTATATAGCTTTGACTGAAAATGGGTAAACGGGCCAAGTAGTGAGCTGGCTATCCATTTTCACAAAAGCCCCAGATGTCGGCATTGAGACTGGAAGAGAACTTACGTGATGCCAGGCCATTACGTAAAGTTTCGCTGGTATATGGAAGTTGTTATTGATCGTCACACCGGTGTTATCGATGGAGAGAATCGAAGATCTCAAAATGGGAAGGATTACGATAACGGTGACTATCAGAAACCATTAAAAAATCGTTTGATCAGCTTACAATGTAAGATGCTTCGTTGAATCTTTCATAACATTTCAATAAAAAATTGTAGTAAAAGTAGCTGCTGAAAAAAAGTTTAAAGGAACTCACCCAGAGGTGGTGTTCAGCTGGACAAATGCACCCAAATCGCTATCAGGTGTTACCAACTGGTATGGCGCATAGAAGACCCAGCCGCATAGTGTGAACTCTCTGTAAAAATGAGATCAACCACATGAAAGATCTAGTTTTTTTAATTGAAAAAAAAAATCAAATTTACCATAGCTTCAATATTATGTCATTCAGGTTAGGTATATTTATCATATTAGCTACAGTAGCGCTCAAGTCTTGGGTGGAATGCTTTGACGCTTTTTCGTTCATAACTTTTTTCTTTGTAGACAAAATCGAGCGAAATTTGGATATGTTTTAGTAGAGTATATTTCACCCTACCGAACACTATTTGACTGCGAAGCTGCAATATCCACAGGTACAGCAATGTGTTTGTTACGGTAGCAGATTTTGCTAAAAAAAANCCATCATCTGTATTTGCAGTCGATTTTATTTTCATGCTCTTTGGAATATCTGGAACATGATTAGATTGCAAGTTAATAGTGGTAAATATTCACAATACATACACCCATCCTCCGAATATAGAAATTTCGCATGACCAGATCCAGTAGGTAAGGAATTACGACTGAAAAGTACGGCTGAAAAAACATTTCACCGAAGACTTTTGAGGGCTACTGCATGTGTATATTTACGCACATGATCAACTTCCAGCTATGCGCCACGCATTTGACCTCCATAGTCAGTTGTTGAGTGCGTCTGTTGACTACACCGCGAATTCCAAGGTAAGATGCAAAGATCTGTGCCTTATCCAATTCATGAGAATTTTGTTCATTTTGATCTGCTACGAAAATGGGGAATCATTGATAACTGATTACCAACAATTTTGATCGCTTCAAAATTCGGTTCTTCAGTGGGTTCGTTTTTTTACATTCAACAGGCGTACGGGCACTGTGAGCGGAAAGTCAGGGAGAGAGGGGGAGGACGGTATTTTGAAGGGGAAAGTCAAAAAATTCATAACGTCTGAGTCAAATTCAGGACACAGACTTCCCCCACATTCTATCTACCAGTCAATTTGGAGGAAGTTTGCCTCTGGGTATCGCGCGCTAGCGGTATTGATGCCGTTGTGTTGACAGGCGACAGTTCCCAGTTTTCTTTTGGCCTCTATGAGATTTTCACTCTTACATACTTTCTTGTCATCCTTATATCACGGCGTTTTTAGTTTTTCTTCTTGATTAACTTTTCCGATAATGTTTCGTCCCTAGGTGAAGATTTTTACTAGCAATGGAATGGATTACGAAATTCCGTCAGTTTTCCTCGTTGAGCGTGAAAAATCGCTTGTCTTTACATTTTACAAGCACCACTGTTTTCTACCTTGCCAAGTCGATTTAAGAAGGGGAAGAGTTGATATCGTCCAACTACATATATCGATATCAAGTACAAACCCCTTGAAATCTGCATTTTTAAAGTGTATCACTCTACCTCTTGCTTGGCATTTTTGAATTTTTCATTTTCAGGCCATTATCTGATGATTTGCCCTCATTCGGATAGGAACTCCTGGAGAAAGCTCAGAAAAAGCTGTAACTTTCGTTAGCTTTTCAGAGGTGGTACGTACGCGTTTTTTACTTCTGCGCAAGAAGCGCTCCATTATTGTGACCTCAGTGATTATCTTTAGGTTCTCGGTCTGCCTTCAGCTATCTACGATTGCTCATTTCCACCTGACGATAAAAGTGAGTTACTTTTGCAACTATTATGTATAAAAGTGTATCTATACCTGGACCTCATCTGCATTTATGGTCTTCTGTCGGAGATATCACTACGATACAATGTTGATCATTGTTGAATGACTACCGTGTGCTATGAAAACTTTATCACGAAAGGAAGGATGCCCAGATTGATCAAAAATTCATGAGCATAAAGTAAACTACCATAGGAATTGAAAAGTGGCCGCTAACGTTAAGTTTGGCCTTGCATTCTAAGAAAAAATCGGTTTTGCCAAATGAAGGGTTGAGTCTGCGGAAACGAATTGGAACTGTCGTCATGCCTCAAGTGTCTGCAGAAAGACAGCTTCTGCAATCTGCGGATCATGTAATGAAGTATCATACGCGGCGAGGTAAAGGAGATGCCTGAGCATTAGAGTCAAAAGTTCCGCATCATATGTAAGAACTGGCCAGTTTCTGATCCCCCCTGGATTCGGCGCTGTTTTTGTTTTTGCTTTGCTTCCGGTAGGTGAAGCGGCGAACGCGGTATCGAAGAATTCCATGGTTAAATGTTAAAAACAATTGCTCACCTCAAGAGAGTTGAGGGAAAATCTCTTGATACAATCTTTTGTGAGGACGGCTCGCCGTTGAAATAGAGATTGAACGATGATGTCTTCTCTGAAATGGAAATACTACATATGAAGACGAAATTCAGAGACCATAAAAATCCCTTTTTAAATCCTTTCCTTTCATCCCATTAGGCACATCTTACATTAGCGTAATTTTTCCTAAAACACCTAACTCCTTTCGAATCCCTCTATTTCTTTTCCCTTTTAATACCTTTCCCTCCTTCTGAATCCCTTCCATTCCTCCCCTTTTCCTTGAATCCTTTTCCTTTCCTTCCCTGCGAGTCTTCGAGATTGCCTAAATACTAGTATGTATGAGATTGGGCGCGTTACGTAATGGCCCATCCTCGCAGTAATTGTAAGCCGTTCAGGTATATTGCTTTCCACCCATGTAGAGAGATGGCTAGACAAAGATGACTGCATTCACCTTTTTGGGACGTGACATCGAAGGCGAATATATCAATACCTATTCCCTGCCCCTATTCTAGGCCTCAAACTGCGCGGGGCTTCGATTCAAAGGAATTCTACCCAAGAAGGTGAAACGTATACCAGTTGAGCAAGGAAACTTGTGGTAAAGATGATCAGCAAGGGGCGATGGGTTAGCCCGAGGTCAGGTGAAAGATAGGTGAACGGTAAGGTGTTTAATCGAAACTGACATTTCTTGCAGAGACCGCAGCACGAATTAGTGAACGGAAGTAGTTGCGCCTTCCAAAGTATCGAAAACTACCTCGTTAAGGTCATTATATGTAGTAAGTGTGAGCGCTCTATTGTGCGAAAAAACTCACCTGTTTCACAAAACTCTCCGGTACGCTCGGGTGGACAGATACAGTGGCCTTGTAAATTTGTATCGTTCACACATGTCCCACCATTGCACGTAATTACAGCACAGGAGCGCTAAATTTCTCTTCTGAATTTAAATGAATTCCTATTCACTCTAAATATTTTCGTGATAAAAATATTTCCATTCATATGAATAATCCACGGGAACAGTGCGACACTTTGAGGCTTAGAGAGACTGTTTATGCTTGGCGCAAAGGTAGTGAGTGCTGCATTCCGTTTAGGATTCCCAATCTTCCTCATTGATTTAGAATTCATACCTGCACCGAACTGGTTGTTGAAGGGATTATACGGCGTTTTATTCGAAAATAAGTGGTTGTGTAAAGAAATCTAAGCAGTTACTCTAAATGAGGGTGTAAGCAAATAAGTAGTTTGGTCTGGTTTTTACATTGCACCACATTTTGTCAGAGTTACTACCACAGGAACTCGTAGCCAGTATCTTGAGCGAAAGGCCTGAAGCGCTGGCTTTTCGCATTGTGTTGTTCTGGCAAAATATCAAAAGAGGGTTACAATGTTACTCACACCAAACACTTCACAGTTAGTGCCAAAAAAGTCGATTGAACATTCACAGTGCTGTTGATGGTTAGTAACGATGCACGTGCCACCATTAAGGCATACTAGTGGCTCGGGAAATTCTTCGCATTCTGTCTAAATTTGAAGCATTCGGAGATAGGTGAATTCGTAGCAACAATATCTTCCGTTTAAGGCAGCACCCGTAAAATTGTACCGAGGGAGCCACGCCTACTGAACGAGTTATTATGGCCGGGAGCGACAACTCGTCCAATGGGCGGGACTGTAGACTAATGTACAGGTCTCAGCTTTTCATAGCAACTGTACCAGTTCTTTTTCGCAGTGAATCCCTCCAAAACCAGGCCGACACTTGCATTTTGCCTCATGATCAGCTATTACACAAATGCCATCATTTTCACACGTAAAATCGGCGCATAGGTCCTGAACAGAAACCTCTTTTGGTACTATTCGACTGATTTGATACCTGTAATTATAGTCAACGATGGTCATGGTTAAAAGTTGAACGTCGAATAGTCACCACAAACGTTTCACAGAGTATTCCAGTATAGTCTGGTGGGCACTGACAAAATGCTTTAGCGTCGTGCACATAGCAGGTGCCACCATGCAAGCATGTTACGTTATCACACGGGTTCTGAACAATGACAGATCAAATAGTCATGAAATCTGATTAATTTTATGGTTAGATTTTGTTAGTTTGGGTTTGAAATCACTGGTAGAGCCTAAAAATTTATTGAGGGAGAGGGATGGTAGTAAAGGAGCTGTTAGTGGGTGCAAACCAAATCTACAGTTCCAATAAAATTTTTGGAAATCATCGGTGAAGTTCCCCAGTGTATATTGAGCTCCTGAGACATACAGAATCACAATTTTCTTCTTCATTCCATAGAAGTTATATTTATTGTCTTCGCTCTTCCCATTTCTTCCAAACTTTTGATCTTTCTTACTTTCTTGGGTAGATAGAAGCTACAAAGGGACATGCGACATGATTGCAACCTGGACCATGTCTTCCTTCTATCCCAATACAATCTATGATTTACATCCCTCCTAAGTCGGACTTCCTAGGGACCCCACTGCTACCGGCCTGAGAAGGCCCAGAGGGTGTCTACTACTTTTTCCGTTTCGCTACTCAATTTGAGTAATATTGTATAAAAGGCTGTATTAACTTTTTATTAGTGTATATTGATATTTAACCTTTATATTTTAAAACTTTTTATGAAAAATTGAAACGTAAAATCAATATGAAGTATAATTGCCTCACAGATATGTCAGTTTGACAGTGTTCTCCAGTGAAGCCAGCCCGACAATGACAGAACGGTCGATGGTCCTGGACCACGCACGTCCCACCGTTGTCACAAGGCCATTCGGCACACAAATCAATTTCTGTCTCGCAGTTGGCGCCAGTGAAATCTGGAATCTTCTTGACTTTGTCGGGACAAATTAGGGAGTTAACTAAGACGATATGACGAACCTTCATGGCAATCGCATGAGTAACCATCAGCGAATCGCTCCACACATGTTCCATTATTGAGACAGGGCTTCAACTGGCAGTATGTAATCCTTTGTTCGCAAGATTCCCCTGGAAGTTTGTATTGTAAGGCGTTGGAACGTGTGCGTAACGCAACGAGCGTCCCCCATCTGCTTAAACTCCTAGTTGGAAGAATGTGATGCACATGGAGTATACAATGTGCAACCCCTCCTCGTTCCGTGATGTCCACTTTTATGACCGTGCCCTTCGAATCTTGACATTGTGAATATCTTCTGGGTCCAGGGGCCCAAAGCACAAACTGTTTTGCGGCCCCATCGGTATTGTATGAGACAGCGGGCGGACGGGCATTTTTTGGGGATTTCCCCTACCGTAGTATCAAACCTGGCATTTTGCCACATTTATTACTTTACTTCTCTTAGAGATTTGTTTCTTTTTTTGTTTTGGTTTTGCAAAGGGAGGAAGAACAAGGGGAGGAAGAAAAAATCAAAAATTAAAACAAAAAGCTAGTTCAGAAAGAAAAGAAAAGGGTTCGGCACAGAAGAAGTATTCGCTTCTCCGGTGTCTCCTAACAAAACGGTACAGTCAGCTCCAGTCCAGAGACAGTCTAGAAATCGGTAAATCTAGATCATGCCGCCTCATGATGGCGCCTCCTGACCCTCACCACTCAATGATCAGAGTGTAATTGTAACTCACCACGATAGTCCACGCCACAATCACAAATCCGTGTGCCTGGTAGTCCACCTAGACAATCACCGTGCTGACAGGGATTTTCATCCTTACAGAGGTCCAGCTGAATCTCGCAGTACTGACCTTAACAAAACAATTTTACTATTTACCTAAATCTGGAATCCAAAATTTTTTCCTATACGATTCAGTTTGTTTATTTCTAGGATTGGAGTGTGTTTCTAATCTTTATTTTTGTACCGAAATTTGTTGAATATATTAGGTTGCGTCATAA